AGAATGCCTTGAGTTTGAGTCCTAGCACTCCTTAAACTGGGTGTGGTAATAATCCCAGCACTTGGGAGGATTAGAAGTTCAAGGTTGGGGCTGAAGAGATGGTTCAACAGCTAGGAGTAAATATTGCTCTTGCAGAGGACCAGAGTTCAGTTCCCAGCACCCATATTGCGTGGCTTACAACTACCTGTAACTCTAGGTCTAGGGGATCCCATGCCCTAGTCTGGCCTCCTTGGACATCTTCACTGTCATGCACATACCCACATACACACACACACACACACACATACACACATACATACATACACACACACACATACACACATACACACACACATACACACACACACACACAGATGAAGATAAGGCTCAATGGCACAGCACTTGCGTAGATGTATAAGGTCCTAGGTCCCATCCCCAGCACTACCAAATAAACAAACTTGCTAGCCTTTGTTATTTACAGGGCCAGTTAAGATGGTTCAGTAAGTAAAAGGCACGTACGTGCCCTAAACCTAACAGCCTGAGTCTGATCCCCAAGGACCCACATGGTGTAGGAGATAATCTTCAAGTTGATCTTCACATGTTTGACATGAAACATGTGCCCCCATACATACACGTACACACACACAAAATATAAAATGTGGTAAGAGATGAACACAATTTTTTTTTGGGGGGGGCGGTCTTTTTGAGACAAGGTCTCCCTGTAGCCCCAGCTATCCTGGAACTCACTATGTAGACCAGGCTGGCCTCGAACTCACAGAGATCCGCCTGCCTCTGCATCTGGAATGCTGGGATTAAAGGCGTGCACCACCACACCGGGCTGAACACAAATATTTTTAAAAAGAAAGGAAAGGAAACACATGCATAGTATGTTTTTGGACGTCCCTCTTCTCTCTGCTGACAACCCTAAGGTGACAAGGCCATCCCAGCTGGAATCAATACCAATTTTAAATTAATGAATTCTGGCTTAATTATATTTTTCTGTCACCAAAATAGCCTTGAACAGCAGAACTGTTTTGCTAGGGCAGCAGCAGACACAGAACAATGGCAATGGTTCCGGAAGTCCCTCCGCCTAACCACCCACTCTGCTCAATCAGACCTTTGCCAAGAATGTAGAGCATTAAAACTGACAACATATGTGTCAGCAGCAGCTACGAAGCAGCAGTCTTCGCATGACCCAGAGGGTGCTGAGGCCTCCGCAGGAGCAGGGCCTGTCTGCCTCACCCACAGTGGCCTGGGTCTGGAACTACTAGTTCAGAGGCCACTCTGCTCTTACTGCATCTGACGACAGACCCCTAAAGTCACAGGAACAAAGAATTGTGTACATCGTGCCCCACGGTGTTCTGGAAGCTTCCACCTTGAATAGTACCCTCCCACCATATGTAGGTTTCCCTCCTAGGCCAAACATCTGGGCAACAGGGGCCAGCACTATTTCCTGCTAGCCATGCCCATCAGCACTGGAGACTCAGGTCAGGCACAAAGTGTGGCTGTCACCTGGCAGTGTCTTAGGGAATGGTCCTTGGGTCAGGCCAGGACACACCAGGGCTTGTCCTCAACCACTGCTTGTGGGCTGGCAACTGCCATGGTTGCTCAGACATACCACTCCTGGGGACCTGCCCAAGACTTGGGCACTTAAGAAATTACAGGGCTGGTTGTCACCGACAATAAGCCAGTATCCACAGCATCTTAGAGAAAAAGCCTATTCTACGCAAAGAAGAAAATAAAGAAAGGCAACTACCTACTAGGAAAAATTTGAAAATTAAGAAAAAAAACGTACACAGGGCGTGGTGGTACAGGCCTTTAATCCCAGCACTCGGAAGGCAGAGGTACGCAGATCACTGCGAGAGCAAGGCTAGCCAGCCTGGTCTACATAGTGAGTTCCAGGTCAGCTGGGGCTACTGGGAGACCCTGTCTCCCAAAAAAAAAAAAAAAGAGAAAGAGGTGGAGGGAGAGAGGGCTCAGTGGTTAAGAGCCCTGTCTGTTCTTTCAGAGGACCAGGGTTTGATTCCAGCACCCACATGGTGGCTAACAACCATCTGCAACTCCAATTCCAGGGGATCCGATGCCCTCTTCTGACCTCTGTGGCATGCACGACATGGGTGCACTTACATACATTCAGACAATACACTCATACACATAAAATTTTAAGATAGTAATAAAAAAATAAAGTCATCACACGAAGCTACGCAGTGGTAAGAAACCCAAATAACCAAGAGATCAAATACTGGCCAGTAAACAGGAAGGCAGGGCCTGACTAGACCGGGAACTATGGAACAGGCACAGCCTATTACTTGGCTCGGGGAAGATGCACCTGAGTCTCTACCTATGAAGTCATTGCTGACTCCAAGACCAGAGGTCCCAAAGACTTAAAACCCTCACCAGACTAAAGGATGGGTTGGTCCAGCAAGTGAGTGTCACTCAGGAATGTGAACCTGAAGGCCACTCCACAGGTACCCAAACCCTAAAGTGAACTGACTGATTCCACACCAGCCCACTTGAGCACCTCCAAGACCCAGACACAGAGTAATGGCCTGATGTCCGGGGTGCGAATGGAATGCTGACCTGTTTTCTCCTGTGCCAACCCCTTGGCACCTGCACCTCCTTGGCCCTTGATGGACACTACCAGGCCTTGTACAGTCAGAATGTCTCACCCTTTCTTTCCTTCAAAGACCATGGTTCCAAGTTCCACTGTCAACACAAAAGCTCGTCTCTGGACAGCCCTCCTAACAGCCCTATGACCTTGGTTCAGACCAGCACAGTGGTAACTCAGGCACAGAGTGAGCAGGCGCACATGAACACAGCAGAGGCCAGCGCAAGCTGCTCAGCTGTGTGCACCTGGGCAGAAGCTGCGAGGCACAGCGACGGCTGCACAACTGTTCCTTCCCTCATTCTGAGATCTCCTTTCACAGTAACACAGGCTAGCACACTCCATTACTGATGCCTTTGTGGTGAGATCTTGCTCAAGGTCCTGTCCACTAACCTCACTTGTGATGTAAAAGCCAGTCTCAGCCTGAAATGCAGGCACCCGCACCCGCCCCCTTTGTGCTTGGTCTAGAACTCTGCTTGGTCATTTTTTTCTATTCTTTGTCTGTTTCTCTCCTCTACTATGTCCCTGTTCCCTGTTAAGTACTTGCACATGGTTTTGATAACAGGTTAGTGCTGTGGGCCATTAGTTCCAGACCAGTCTCCTTAGTTACTAGGTTTCCGTTTAGTTGGTTGGAGTTTGGTTCTGTCTGTTTAGGTCATAGGTCACACTTTCCTGCTTCTTGGTATTTTTTATTAGATCCTAAACTCTATGAATGCTCCCAGGCTGTGCATCTGAATTTTTGTTGTCTTCCTATTAAAAGGCTGCGACTTGTAGCCCTGTGTGGTCTTCTGAGGGTTCTTTAAGTTCTGCCTTGACTCTGGGGACAGTTCAGCCCATGAGCATACATGGCATTCTGGTACATTCCTGAAAGACAGACCTGTCTCTGGGGCTCTCTGTTCTGGCTGGTGGGCATCTGGACACCTCTCAGCCCAGCGGGAACTCCAGGGCACAGGCTAAGACGTACGGCCCCTGTCTGCTGCGAGTGCACTCATCTCAGAGATCAGCGAGTGTCTGAGGGAACCTGTACAACCTGGGAGCTCATTTCTAGTTTTACCAAGTTCGCTGCCTCGGCTCTCAAAGGTCTGCTACTCCCAACTCTGCCGTGCTGTCTCTGAAAACCCCCTTGTTGCTCCAGGCTCCAAACCGTGCCTCGGGAGGCATCAGAGTGAGGGCAGACCCCCAGGCTTCCTCCACCTAGGGCCATGGGCCTAGGCTGTCACTGACAGCTGCTTCACAGATGTCATCCCACTTTCTACAGCAAGAAGATTCACAGCAGTCCCCGCTACCGCAACCTGACTAAAGCAGAATGCCCACATTTCAAACAGCGCCTTTTGAAAACACCAAATGAACGCGGTGCTTACAAGAAACAACGCAGGAACCACAGTACAACTCAGAACTGATGACCCACCACCAGGCTGCACCTCGACACTGCTCCTACAAGCAGCACCACCACCTGAGCAGGAGAGGAGCCAGATACAATGCGTGCAAGAGGATCATACTCAAGTAAGTCACAAGTCTGTGGCCTACTCGACAACCACACCCTCCTGGGCTGGATGCAACTTCACCAAATGTGTGTGCCCACGCCTAGGATGCTCCACAAAGTTCCTGGGACAGAACCCAGATTCTTCCCTTTGAGCTGCTTCTCTGAATGCCACTCGCAAAAGCACTGCCTTAGAGGTACAACGTGTGTGGCCCACACAGCTGCCACCTCGCCTTCAGGAGCCCTGGCAACGGCTAAAGCTAAGTTATCTGATAACTGCCAAAACCAGGGAGGAAAAGCCCTCCCTGAAGGATGTTCAGGGAGGGCCCAAGTGACCAGCGAGCTTCCAGAGCAGAGTCCGGACAAAGCCTGCGGCCCGCCCACCGCTGCCCTCCACTGTTGCACTGGGTCAGGAGCTGACCCCGAAGCAGGGCTCAACTTCCAGGAGCTACCGCTATAGCCAAGAAAGCTGCAGAGGGCTGTTAAAAGACTGCTTAGGGTTGGGAGCATAGCTCAATGGTAGAGTATCCTACCTAGCATGCTCAAGACCCTGGGTTCGAGCCCCAGTGTGAGAATGAGAAAGAGAGAGAGAGAGAATATGAACTCAGGCTCAGAGAATATCTCTGTGAGCCTGAGGACAAGCCTGAGTCCACAACCTGAAAATAAGAGTCAAGAGCACACTGTGGTGCAGCCCTTCGCCACAGCCCCTTTGCAGGTTATGGCACTACGGTTAAGCCATCAGGACGCTCAGGAGAGAAACTGCCCGGCGGAGGGAGGAAGGCCTGCGCGAACGTTCCCTCTGTCCAGCCACTGCCCAGGACGCTGGCGGCACTGCGGAGTGGAACCAGGGCTGACAGAGGGCTCACAGGGCTTTGGGGCAGCCCTCTCCTGAGCCTACCTGAGGCACTGTATGAGGATGAAGATGGTGTCCTCCGTGAGAAGCTCTTGACGGCCAGGCTCTGCCCTCGCTGCTTCCGCCGCCATGCTGTCCGGCACTTGGAGTCAATGCTCTGTTTGATCCGATACCAGTCAGACTCGGTGATTCCAAATTTATAGAAAAGGTGACCTGAAAACACACACATGTCCCAAATAAAAACTGTGAGACACAGGCTCTGTCCTGGGCCCACTGTCTAGGAGCACTGAACACAAGGTGAGAGACCCAGCTGACCAACTACCCTGCTCCCAGAGTGTTGAGAGATCTTCCAGAAAACAAGCCAGAAAATCTCACTTCATCAGGGAAGGGTGTCACTCAGTTGGTAAGTGGCCCTCCAAGATCAGGTGCAAACTAGAACAGCATGCTCTTTCCATTTATTCAACTTCTAAATTAAGCAGACTTCATGTCCATACAAGAGCTCCAGTTCTTATGGGTTCCAGACTCCCCACCCTCCCACTTCTGCCCCACTCTCACAGACAGCATGTACCAGCCTAGAGAGTCAAACCCAGACTGCAACACTGTACTCATACAGGGCTTTCTGGAGCTGTAACCCACCCATCACCCTTCTCTGCTACATCCTCCCGACCTCTCTGGAGTCCAGAGAGGCTGACCGTGCCTCGCCTTCCCACTCCACTCACCAGTCTAGCCTCATCTCCAGAACACCCATCCCCTCCTTAAATATCTATGATTCTGTTTATGCTCTGTCTCCCTCACAGGCACGAGGAACTTGGGTTTCTCCTCTGAGGTCAGGAACCAGAGCGTCCTGGCTTCCCATGCATGTAGGAACCAGAGCATCCTGGCCTCACACACATGTGGGAACCAGAACGTCCTAGCTTCCAGCAATTACTGGACATCTGCTCAGTGAGGGGCAGCTGTGATTCCCTGAAGACACTCTGCCCGCACTCCTCATCTAATGCTTGCTCCTGCAGCTTTCAGCCTCCAATCAGGCTGCCTTCCAGAACACACACTCCTTGAAAGCAGGACTACTGTGCCTGGTGTTTGTGTCCTGGAGTCATCTGCAGGCCCAGGGGAAAGGCACTGTCTGCAGCACACTGTTGGCAGGGGATGGAGCAGGAACCATGCACACTGTGAATGGCAGAGCACCTATTGGTGCCCACGTGTGCTAATCATTGAGTACAGATGTCCCGTGAGCATCACTGAACAGCACGCAGGTATGTCACTCAACGAGAAAACTGAGGATGCAGGAGGCCACAGGCCCCTGGAGACAGAATGGGGCTGGCAGCTGACTGCAAGCCTGGCTACCATTTCACGAACCCACATGCCCCTTCTTTATACCCAGCATCAAGAGGAAGGAAGGATGGGGAACGTGGACATCACAAGACACACTCTTCAACACAGTGAGCTCTCCAGCTGGGCTCATGCAATTTCATTGATTAATAGAAAAATAAATAGAAGAATTCAAAACTATAATAATCAAAAGCCTCAGCTAGAAAACTTCCTGTTTTGACTACTAAGCCCATGAATTTAAACCATCTTCTAAGAGCTAAGTTACCACCCAAACTCTAAAAATTTGCTCCTATTGAGACCAAAATACTAGAAATGATCGAGGCAAAGGAAGCATATAGGTGCGGCGCTAAGTGTCAGGCAGTGGGAGACAATCCTTGACTTTTCTGTGAGCACGGGGACACAGGTGCCTCTGACTGTGATCACAGTCAGACCTCTGTGACCTGGGAGAAGGCTGTACTATACACACCCAGCACTTCCCACCCTCGGGCATGACAGGAGACTACAAGCAAGGAGGCGACTCCGGTTCTGACTTCCAAGTCACCTCAAATAGTCACAGAATCATCACTTGACAGATCTTTACTGAGTGATCACGCTATGCTGTGTGTGACTTCAGGCATGGAGGAAGGCCTTACTAGGTCTCAGGCTAGTGACCAACTACAGTGACAGAAAAACCCAACCGCCAATCACCTCTCCACACACCCACTACTGACAACCACCTTATTTGATACATATTTGAAAGTGTCGTGAAATAAGAACTCTGCTGCCCTCGTGTCCATTTTTGAGGCAAAAATCAGGAAGGGGAAGCGATCTGTTACGAGCCAGCTTTGCAGTCAGCTTTCAGCTGCCCTTTCACACATGCTCCTTCACCGCAGCCAGGAACCCCAGGTCAGAGCTTCAGGGAGACAGCAAGCAGAGGCAGGCCCCTGTCACAGCTCACTTCCTCAGGAGGCTGTCCCAGCAGGACACACAGTAGAACCAAAGCCCCCCAAAAGAACAGACATGTCCGGTCACTGGCCTGCATCTGCCCAAGAGACTCCATGAAAAGCCCAAGGTCAAGGGTGTACCTGCCTTGGAGCTGTGGAAGGAGGCCCAGCTCACTCTCACCCACTTGTGGCAGAGCCAGAAGAGTCTCCCATAATCGCTAAGAGTCTTTCACCCTCCAGAACTCCACTAATGACTCTTAAGTCATGAAAGCAGACTCCAGCTCTCAGTTAATGAGCCCGCCCAGGGCCCCTGCAATGATCTGTGTGAAAGGTACCAAATGAAACAAAGAGAGCTGTAATCTCCGTCCTTGGTGGGTGGCATGTTCACGTCATCAGTCACGGAGGAATGAAGACACTATCACTGCCAAAGACATCTCCAAGGGGGAGGAGATGCAGGAAACTGAATGCCAGCAACTCATTTCTGAAATTACAAACCTGACATGATAGCAGCTTCCCAGAACAACAGCAGGATCCCATAGATGGGAAGGAGCCGAAGGGTGCTCTGAGCAGGCCTGTGCCATCCAGGCATCAGACATAAAGCCTGCCAGCGCCTTCCCCAACTCACCCTGACCCACTGCCTCCCAAGAACCCTGGTTTATAGAGTTCTCGATGGCCATCTAAGCACAGCACAGTATCCCAGTCCCTGCCGAGAAGGGACCTCTCACTGGTCTCCGTAACTCACAAGTTCTTCTGCCACCAGTCCAAACTGACCAAACCCACTCCTGGCTCTCTGATCAAAATGGTGTTCTCAGTGTCCCCAAGACCCCCGCAGGCCACAGGAGACTGATGCTGCACTTATGGATGTCCTATGTGCAAGACACATGAGTAGCCTTCTCTCCCACCCATGAGGACCTAGTAAGAGATGGAACCTGATTATCCAGGCTCAGAAAAACCCACATCCCTGTGCACTAAGTGGAACAATGTCCACCCCCATTCATGTCCTTCCCAGGACCTCCAAATGTGACCTCGCTGGGAACCAAAGTCCTTGGAGATGTGATTAATTAAGTGAAGATGAGTGAGGTCACATTAGTAGGATCTCGCCCCGGGGGTAACCGGCGTCCTTATAAGGAGTTGAGAAAGACTGACTTGGACACCCAAGGAGACGGTCACTGGGGGCAGCTGTAGGAACTGGAGGAAAGATACAGCATGAGAAGCAAGTCCTTGGAGATGTGATTAATTAAGTGAAGATGAGGTCACATTAGTAGGATCTCGCCCCGGGGGTAACCGGCGTCCTTATAAGGAGTTGAGAAAGACTGACTTGGACACCCAAGGAGACGGTCACTGGGGGCAGCTGTAGGAACTGGAGGAAAGATACAGCATGAGAAGCAAGCGCCAAGAAGTGACAGCCACCACCAGAGCTGGAGGGAAAGCCCCTTCCTTTAGAGGCGGTGCCATGTATATGGGCCTGTGTCCAATGCTCAGACTGTGGATGGACTTTCTAAGAGCAGCCCTAGAAACCCAGCACACCGCAAGATGCACCAGGCATGGGAAGCACTCTGGGCTCCCAGAGAATGTGCCATCTACAGCTAGCTGCTGCAGAAACTAGCCAGAAACTGGCTGCTCTGGAGGAGGGTGGCTTAGGAAGAGTAGCTGGGTCACCCACTGGCCACAGGAAGACTTCCAGTTTATACAAATTAACCACCTTCCTTCAGAGGGTCTGGAGGCCCTTGTGCAGGTTGGGGGGGGGGTCTCCCGCCTACACTGCACTCTACAGGTGTGTTCAGGAAGTCGTTTGCCAATGATGTGCACATTTCATTTCTGTCACCTGGCAGCTCTGCGCCTACTCCTCTGCAGAGGTCAGGCCAGGAGAACTCACTAGCAGAACTCCCAAGAACTTAGGCTACATTCTCATTTGAACAAAAGTACAGCTTGGCTTCAAGCCTGAGAGCGCGTCCCTTGCGGTAACATGCTGCTGTAAAAGTTACACCCTGCCCCTTCTGCACGAGGTACAGACTTTGTGACTTAATACTGGGGAGCCAATCAGTCCTTAGAAAATCCAAAAAGCCACCACCCTACAGAAAATTCCCTCCCTCTTTCACTGTGAAGATGGTGCTTAAAGACATGGCCTACTATAGTTTCAATGAAAGGAGAAAATATGTGTGACAAATGGGAAAACAGACCTTAAACCAAAGTCTCCCACAGCCAGCAGGATGTGCCGTGTCTCTGAAGGAGCAGCACAGACAGAGACTGTGGCCAAGCTGGACAAGCTGAGGCTTCAGGGGTCAAAGGTAAACAAGCCATCTTTTTTAAAAAAAATCTACTTTTATTTTATGTATATGAGTGTTTTGCCTGCAGATATGTAAGTGCACCCATGTCATGTAATATCCACCAAGATCAGGAGAGGATGTTGGATCCCCTGGAACTGAAATTATGGGTGGTTGTTAGCTACCATGTGGTTGCTGGGAACCAAACTCGGGTCCTCTGCAAGAGCAGCCAGCGCTAACTGCTGAGCCATCTCTCTAGCCCCTACCAACAACCATTTTTGACAATTCAGTGTCAACACTAACACAGTGCTAACCTGCAAGGCCTTGCATTGCTCAAAGATGGACAGAAGTAGGAGGCTTGTCCCTAGTGCCTCCAAGGGTGGGACTGCACCCAGGGGAGGAGCCTGCTGGGCATATCAAGTCCCTGATGAGGGCCCACACAGGTGGAGGGATGACCCACTGGTCAACCCCACAGCAGCTCACCAAGTTTATCTGCCCTTGCCAAGCACAAACATGCTAGTGAGGGGCCTGAGACCACAGGCCCATGGTCATCGCTAATAACCTGTACCTCTTCCCTTACGCACGGCCTCTACAGTTAGCTGCCAAGTAAAAACAAGCGCAGACCGTGGCCGGGGAAGGCAAGGCAGGCCCTTGTGCAGATGTGTCTAGTTTCAGGGCCCTTTTTTCTCCACCTACCATAGCCTCCCGGAGCTGGCCCACAATGTCTAAATGTGGGGCACAGTAGCCTAGCACTCCGAAGGCCCAAGGCTAGTCCCCGTTTCCAAGAAAAGTGTGGAATACCTACCTATCTACCTACCTACCTTGGGTATTAGAGGTCCTGGGGCCCCTAGACTTACCCATGAGCTGGCTATCTCCTTGGTGAGGACAAGTAAAAGGTGTGGTCCCATGAAACCACACACACAGCCAACCCAGGAATCATCCTGCAGGTGGACAGAGGCTACCACTTGCCAGTTCATCCCAGGTCCCTTCAACAGAGTCAGGTCACCCCATAAACATGGCAGTGCCACGGCCATAGCCTCCCTGAACAAGAGGCAGGTGGCACTCTATACATGCCACTGGGCAATGCAGGGGCACTGTGACCAGTGGGCAGCAGGAGGCTCTGTTCTCCTCCCTAAGAGCAGCCCAGGGATGCATGACACCAGGATCTGCAAGTCCCCAGGGAAACACAGTCCCAAGTGTCCCTCTCAGCACAGAGCACCAAGCAGTGCCTTGTCAGGGCTAATACTGGCTCCAGAACCTCCCCCCACCCCCACTCCTCTGTGACACCACTGAGCCCGGCATCACCCTCAGCACTGAAAAGATGGTCTGGATTCTGTTCTCTGAACACTTCGGTAACCTCCTAAGTCAAACAGGAACCAACTGTACGCACTTACACCGGATGCCGTAGATGGTGAGGGGGTCGAGCTGCTTCTTTCCATGTTTACCCTGGCCCGACAGGTTGGACACGGCCTGTACCTCACGGTGGAAGAGGTAGTCCAGCAGCGTCAGCGCCATCTTCTCCGCTGTGCGGCAGTTGGTACTGATGTGCAACATGTCTGACGGGATGATGGCACAGCGTACCCGCATCTCAGGGTTGTTCTCGTCACCAAGCCAGGTGCCATTGGGGTAGTCCTCTGAGAGAGGGGAAAAGCCTCCATTAGCAAGGCTGAGGAGCACGCTCAGACAGCACAGCACACAGCTCAAATACATCTAACAGGCTCCTGGGGCTGCTCAGCCAAGCTCCCAACCTCCACCTGGATGTCAGGAGCACCAGAGCAACCCCACAGCTACATCTGAGGTCCGACAAAAGGCAGAGGCAACTGTTAACCCCAGAGAGCCAGCTGTGCTCTCATTAATCCACTCCAGAGAGGAGATGGCGGAAAGCATCACTTCTACGGCACTCGGCACTCAAGGCTGTTGCCACAGGGGCCAACCTGCCGTAACTTAGCTAAAGTGCACAACACACAGAGTACTGGTGCTCTCCACACAGCTGACGGCTACACACACGGGTCCCAGTCAAAGCTCACTGCAGCTGCCGAGGTATGGCCACCAGTGTTAGCCAGCGGCAGGACCAAGCCATCCTGACTGTGGCAGGGACAGCGAACAAGCTGTGGCCTCAAATGCCAGATTCTCTCTGCAGCCCAACAGGGAAAATGCTGCCTGCTTTATGCCTCCCTCACATCTGAACAAGAGTGAGCAGTCGCCACTGGCCAGCACGTTCCCCACCAATCTCCACTCTGAGTCTGATGTTGCACTGGGAACTCTGCACATCCATCACTGAATTGTGAGAAGGGGTTATAAACAAACTTGGTCCCACCTATGTGAGACACAGCTGTTGTCTTCTGTGCTGCTGAGGAATCTGGGGCACAAGCCTCCACAGCAAGTCCCTCTCCTAACCCAAGTCTGCTACGGCACTGAGCCAGCACGCTTTCCTGCTCTGGAGGCCCGCAGTCCCTCCTGCCCCTCCTTGGACTGCTCAGCGGTGGGCCTGGGAGTCCTCATGGGAAGCAACTTCTCTTGAGCCGTGCTCAGAGCACCAGGATCGACTCCTCCTCTCAAGGCTAAAGCATCTTCCTCACCGCACACATGCCTTGCACTGGAATGCACACTGACTCACCACACACGTGCCTTGCAGTGGAATGCACACTGACTCACCACACACATGCCTTGCACTGGAATGCACACTGACTCACCGGTGAACGCTCAGGAGCTCCTTGGTCTGAAGAAGTCTTACATTAGCAGCCAGTGTGCTGGTGAAGCAGGCCTGGCACACTGTCCGTCTCCAGGACCCAAAAGCCCAGGCCACATCTTCTGCTCTAACCACACCCCAGCCTGTACCATATGCATACTCTCTCCTAGTTCTCTGAATCACGGTACTGCCACAAAACATCAGGGCGAGTTTGAGCCAGGCTGTTGGCGGGTTGGGGGAGGGCCTGAGCTCTCAGCTCTAGCTAAGAATGAAAATGGGTGGCTTTTGGAATTCAGAATAAGATGAGTAATTAGTGCCATTTCTCAGTGGCTTCAGTGAGAGACAGTACTGAGTATAGGCACTGTTCTGAAAATCAGCCAGCCATGGCTATAGTCAGTCTGCCTATTAAAAACAAAATAAAACCTAGTGGAACTGTGCACAACTGTAAGCCCAGAACTTGGGGGGTTGAGGCAAAAGGATCATGAGTTCTGATCAGCCTGGGCTACATAAGGAGGTTGTTCTGGTTTGTTCTCTTCATTGCTGTGACAAAATACTCTGACCAATACCAACTTGGGGAGGAAAGGGTTTATTCAGCTTACATCTCCCAGGTCGCAGTTCATCCAGGAGCCCAATGTAGGAACTCAGAGCAGGAACCTGAAGGCAGGAGCTGGAGCACAGGCCATGGAGGAACTTGTTCCCTTGGCGTATGCTCAGCCTGCTTTCTTAAAAATGCAGGACCACCTGCCCAGGGGTGGCACCACCCACAGTGGGCTGGGTCCTCCCACATCACTCATCAAGAAGATGCCCTCAGACGTGGCCACAGGCCAGTCCAATAGAGGCAATTCCCCAACTGACGCTCCCTCAACCCAGGTGTGTCAAGTTGATACTAAAGCTATCCAGCACAGAGGTCCTATGTCAACAATACAAAACAAAACACAGAGGCAAGATCTAAAGACCTGTCTACCTGTGGAGTTTCTACCTTCTAAGATACTAATTTACCTACAATCTTGGTTTTGACAATTATGTGGCTGGCATGAGGTCTAATGCACAGACCCTAAAGCCTGGTTCTGCAGGTCTCAATGACACCAAGAAGGCCACCTTGGCTGCCTTAGTAAGGAAGATGGGGCGGGGAGCGGGGGTTTAACACCATGGCCAGAACAGAACACCTCTGCAGCCGAACGGAAGGTGGTATCTGGAGACACCAAGCACAGGGATGAATCAGAAGCTGAGGTCCCTGAGCAGCATGGTGGCAGTGACGCCCTGAGCTGGCAGAAGGGTGCTGGTCATCCCCACAGGGACCTTGAAGAGTGGGAGAAACGGTGGGCACAGACTCTTAGCTCAAGTCTAAAGTGGCCAAGGACCACAGTGGCCATTCCTAGGACTAACAATGCTAGATTCTGCCCCATGAGCTGTTTATGGTGACTCTAAAGTACCCTGGATGAGAGTACTACACTGATTTCCAAACAGTGAGTCAACACCACATCCAAGTGTCACTGGGTGTGCACAACACCAGAACTGTGAGCCATCCAGCCAGCGGACAACTGCTCCCCAGCTGTGCCGGGACTGCGCTGATTATTCAGAGGAGACAGTTTCACAGACTGCCACCCACGCCCCTTCCTCCAGGGGTTCCCACGGAGGAGCCTACAAGGCAGCACTGAAGAGGAGGGTGCTCCCCACTCAGTCTCTGAAGCAGCCCCAAAGATGTCCTGGTGCAGGTGGCCCTACCTGCAGCTGCCCCGCAAGCACCAAACTCAGTGAACCCTAAGCTGCACACGCTGCACGCCAAAGCCACCTGCCTCCTACACTTCAGCTCAGTGTCCACAGCGAATAACCAGCCACTCGGGCCTCGGTCTCGCTGAGGACAGGCCTTCGCCTCTGCCTCTCTTCACCAGGATCTGCCTTCCACCTCATGTCCCAGAGGCTGCCCGATGCTGTGTTCTCAGGAACTTCTAGTCCAAGTGTGAGAAACGCAGAGCTTCTAGGACATGGCCAGGGTAGCCTCCCCAGACCGTGCTTCGACTCCAGCACGTGTGAGTGGGCAGCACTGTGGCCTCCTGCTTCTCCACACACCTCTGCTAGCAACATCATCCCCAGCTCAGTCCCTCGGCCAGTGACACACTTTTACCACAGCCCAGCCCTGGGAGACAGAGACCACATCTTAGCATCCTCAGGGCTGGGGGGTGGGGAGTTGGGGTCTGGCACAGCCAGAAGCTCTGTAGACTCCTGGAGGTATCCTTAAAAATGACAAAACCTAGTGGCTGGCAGGAGACTCAGGAGGTAAAGGCACTTGTTGCCAACTCTGAAGACCCAAGTCTAATCCCCAGAACCCACATAACTCATATAGTAAAGAGAGCTCACTCCTTCAAGTTATTACCTGATGTCCCGTGACCACACCCACCCACCCCCCCACACACCCATACACACACGTAAAACATTGAGGGAGGGAGGGAGGGAGGGAGGCAAGCCTAGCCCACGGCCCAGTGGGGGAGCCCACCCTCAGCATTTTCAGACGTCTGAGTGGTTGGTTCCACTGCCATCCAGGACGGGCAAGCATGCTCCACTCAATCTGCCTGACAGACGTGATCAGTCCGCTGAGTGACTGTCCCCAAATCAGTGCATGAGCACTGCAGGGGGCTCACCAGGAGTTGCTTCCTGGTCCTGTCCTATCTTCACAAGCAGGAATATTCCCACCTCACTGGCCTGAGGTAGGAGAGCCTCACCTGTGCAAACCCAAGCTTCTCTAGGAAATAAAGCTATAAGCTTTCTGTATCCTGGAAATGAGGACACCAAGGCCCATGAGCTCTGAGGGGTGCGGGTGGCAGTCCAGGTCTAAGAATGAGACAGAGCAGGCTAGGCTAGGGAAGCCCCGTGCCCAAGGCCACCCAGCCCTGGCAGACCCAATACTGCCTCCTTCCCCAGGCTCAAGTCACCAGTCCTCATCAGCCCAGGAAGCTGGGGCTCAGGCCCTCTTCACCGAGGAGGCCCCGACCATGTGCGGGCATAACAAGCTCTATCAAGGTCACAGGGCGGTGAGAAGCCCAGTCAACAGAAGAGCATCTGAGGCCAGTCCTTGCCTTCAAAATAGCATTCTTTTGTGTGTGCTTCCTGGTAGGAGGTGCTGAATTACTCAACATTCTAATGTTCACAACTCCCTATTTGGGTGGGGGGAGAAAGAAGCAGACTAAAGGTCCGAGCCTAGAGAGAGCAGCACTTACTCATACAGGTTTGTAAGCAGTCAATCCTTCTGAAAAAGAAACCAACTGAAGTTGTAGTACGAGCTTGTCACACTTTGTACCCACCTGCCTGCCTTCCTTCCTTCCTCCTTCCTCCTTCCTTCCTTCCTCCTTCCTTCCTCCTTCCTTCCTCCTTCCTTCCTCCTTCCTTCCTCCTTCCTTCCTCCTTCCTTCCTCCTTCCTTCCTCCTTCCTTCCTCCTTCCTTCCTCCTTCCTTCCTCCTTCCTTCCTCCTTCCTTCCTCCTTCCTTCCTCCTTCCTTCCTCCTTCCTTCCTCCTTCCTTCCTCCTTCCTTCCTCCTTCCTTCCTCCTTCCTTCCTCCTTCCTTCCTCCTTCCTTCCTCCTTCCTTCCTCCTTCCTTCCTCCTTCCTTCCTCCTTCCTTCCTCCTTCCTTCCTCCTTCCTTCCTCCTTCCTTCCTCCTTCCTTCCTCCTTCCTTCCTCCTTCCTTCCTCCTTCCTTCCTCCTTCCTTCCTCCTTCCTTCCTCCTTCCTTCCTCCTTCCTTCCTCCTTCCTTCCTCCTTCCTTCCTCCTTCCTTCCTCCTTCCTTCCTCCTTCCTTCCTCCTTCCTTCCTCCTTCCTTCCTCCTTCCTTCCTCCTTCCTTCCTCCTTCCTTCCTTCCTTCCTCCTTCCTCCTTCCTTCCTTCCTCCTTCCTTCCTTCTTTATTTATATTTTACGTGTAAGCGTGTTATGCCTGCATGTGTGTTAAGTGCA